ATGTAAACATGCAATTTCAGCCGCGCATACATTTGTGAAAAGTTCTTCTCTTTTTTTAATTTTCCATTGTATGATTGTGAAAAAAACATGTGAGCAACGAAGGAATAAGCTTAATTTAATTGGTTTTTAGCATGGAGGTAGGAAATAGGAATCCACACCTGTTGCTTTTAATTCTCATGCATCGACCATGGCATGATTAACCATGAAATTCTATACCTCCATGGATTAACATGTAAAGCTCCCAGCTCCCTAAACTTGTCGCTATAAACGAGTATAATTTAAACTTTTTTTATTCCGAATAATTTTGTTAAATCTTTTTGTAGGAATAGTTGTTAACGAAAGTTGCCGGTGGTTTATTATTATATTGGGGGCCGGGGGGGGGGGGGGGGGCGGGATACGGTCTCCGCGCTAAAAATAACTTTGACGCACAGCGCATGCGTGACATGCAAAGCGTTGCGGATACGTGTTGACATCCTTAGCAACCGGCGCGACGAGGCGATATCGGCGATTCTCGAGATCTCATGCTCAGTTAATTCGTGAACAGTGAAATTTGCTTCAAAATTCGGGGTTACACAAAGCCGGTTTCGGTAGCTTTGGAAAGATCTAAAAGTTTCTCAAGACGTGTAGGATGGAATTAACTGGAGAAACTGTTAAATACGGTCGCAGGAAAGGGCAATCAAGAGGTAAGTGTTGAGGTTGAGCTTTCAACATGTCAAACTTCTGAACTTAGTTTTTACGACGCGGCAAGAATTGTTGTGTACGACGTGTACGGTGTAGTCGAGTCATTGACTTGAGGCCACACCGCGTGCAGGGACGCCCCGCACAAAAACCTCGGCGGTTGTGTACAAAGTCGATTTAGTATGGAGAGTCAACATGGTCAAGAAAATTGTCTTTAGTATTTCCTCACAAAATTGGAAATGTTTCTCAGTCCCAGATTCACGTCTTATCATCATTTTTGCAACAACTGACCTTCAACATTTTGTTCATTGAGATTGATACTGATACTAGGGGGGCCTATGCCATAATATGAAAAAAAAAGTGGCATCAGGTTGCAACATTTTTCCATCAAGAAATTTGTTTCTCATATTCCCACTCCCAGATTCATCATTTCATGTCTTCAACATTTTTGCAAAATCCTAATTAACACGATACAGGCTAGGGGCTACATGAAAAAAAAGGGGGCATCTGTTGCAACATTTATGCCGGAGCGACCAAAGTGTTGCAGGTGTGTTTTATTTCTCCATGCCCATGGTACAATTAATTGTTCCCCCCCCCCCAAGACTGAATATAAACACATTTATTACAATGTGACAGGTTCAACACCTCCTTCTGGTGCCAATGACAAGTCAAGATTACCTACAGAGGAAGATCTGCGTCAAGTTACCATCCTCTCACAGGGAGATTGGAACCGCATCGCTGCTCAGCTAGAGAAGAAATCCAGAGATGAGGAGAAGAGGAGAGCACTGAAAGAGGAGAAAGAAGCGCTGAAAAAACGATCCCAAGATATGGTTAAGAATTGGAGTAACACTATCGCTGTAAGTACATGTAATTGTAGCAGTCTGTGAAGTTTGAACTGGCCAACAACAATATTCCAAGTCAACTTGAATAGAAGGTGACTTGGATTATTGTTCTTGGACTTGTATGATGTTTTCACTAAACATTTGAACTTTTTGTTCTTGTTTAATTTTAACACCCCCCCCCCCCCCCCGAGAACTAATACAGTATTATACACACTTCTTGAAATTGAATGCCAGCTGCAGATCCAAAGGCTTTGCTTCAACTTCTGAAAAGGCTCATAAGAAAATACATAATCGGATTGTATTTGAGTATCTTGCTACATGTTTAAAACTAGTTTTCTTGATATTTTTTTTCTGACAGGGTCAGCGTCTGAAGAAACTTGAAGCAAGAGCCATAAGGGAAGAGAAGGAAGAAGCAGAGAGAGTACAGGTTGATATTGAGGAGGCCAAGTACCAGGCACAGTGTAGGAAAGAAGCTATCGAGAAAGCCAAGACACTACAATACTATCAGACTGATAGAGTCAAAGGTTTCCATGTTAGTATGTGTGTACATGTACTTAGCTAACAAAATTATTACATGTTGTAAAAATGTTCAGTGTTAAAGGGCTTTATGTAGTCCGAGTATCACCTGTTGTCCAATGGAGCCCTCTCCGTATCCAATGTCTGATATATCTCGGCAATGCAACTTTTATGCGACCCCATGCGCCAGCCTATGGAGAAGACTTCAGAAATTGTGATGTCATTTCGATCAGAAATGTGGACTATAAAGTTGCATTTGATTAATGATTGTTTATGGTCAATTTGATGACATTTTTTGTTATACATTGTACAACAAAAAAGGGTTACCGAAGCCCAGATAGAGGGCGCCCGCTGAATGGTCAGAATCTCGAGGACAAGCACAGTCTTGGTTTACATAATTAATCGCCAAATCTGCTTGCATATCAAAGTGCGTTGCAAAGTTCTACTCCGTAGACTTGGCTGCTAGGATGATTTCTGTACTTATTTAAATATCACTTGTTGAAGAAAACATCCGTTATTATTATCCAGGGTGCATTGCTGTTAACGAAGTCTTGAAGGAGCGAGAAGCCCAGATCAGCCTGAAGACTCAGCGGGAAGCAGCTCTGTCTGGACGAGACAAGGATCTCCTAGCTCGATATCAACGAGACCTTGAGGAAGGAATCTTAGAAGATCATAGGAAAGCTGTCAAGGCAATAAAGAAAGGAAGAAAGTGGCCGAGTTCCAACTCAAACAGTAAGTAAAATTATTGTAGCCAGTAAAACTTAACTTAAACAGAATTAACATACAACAGTCTATTTTACTATTTGTAGCCCAAGTTGTGCAAAGTCTCAACGCTAAATCTAAAAAAACATTGCTGTGAGAATGATAGAATGATGCTTGAAAAATGCACATTTCATTGTCCCTCGTTTACTGAGAATGATAATTTCTTTCCAGAGTTGAGAAGCACATTGCAGATACAGAGAGGGAGATTGTAGAAGACATTAAAGAAGGGGAAGATCTCAAACAGCAAGTCCTTCATTACAACACTGAGAAAGCCAAGATTGAAGGCATCCGAAGACAAGAGAAGGTTGATCTCATGAAGGCTCATAAACAGACTGTAGCTGACAGGGATCTGATCCGAGCAGCAGAGGGACAGAAAGAAGAAGAAGAAGAGGAACAGATCAGGATCTTTGCAGCAGCTAAGAAGAAGATGACTAAACTAAGGAAGTTGAGAGAGCAAGATCTGTGGCAGTAAGTAAACATATGAAGAAGGGGAGCATAATGAGAATGGACTGTTCTTATATTGGCTAGATTGATCTTGTCTTGTAGTTAATGCAAGGGGCATTAACAGTCATCAAGAATATAATCTTCATGTTCTTGGGGAAAATAAGAATACCCCCAAAAATGGATGAGATGATAAGGATCTATATGTATACTTGGACATGTCAGGTTATGTAAAATTGTACCAAGAGACTCTGATTTGTACATTATTTAACCCTTCTAGGAAAAAGCAAGATCACGTTAATCAGATGGTGGACAAACTGGATGGTCAACTTAAAATGAAGATGGATGATGAGGATGATCGCATCGCTCGGGCTGTGGAGGAACGAGAAGCAGCCAGGGAGAAAGAAGCCATGGAGAAACAGCTTAACCTAGAGAAAGATCTGAAAGAAGAGGCAGAACATAGGATGCTACAGATGAAACAAAGAGAGCAACAAGAACGTGAGGAGAAGAGGAGGGAGCTTGAGGCACTTCATGTCAAGATGGAAGCAGATAAGCTGTTCGCTGCCAAGCAAAAGGAGAAATATCAGAAAGCTAGAGACGGGAATGTCAGGCTGGCCAAGTTCCACATCAAACAGGCTGGAGAGAGACAGGAGAAGACGCTTAAAGAAGAGGAGGAGAAACTGGAAATGGATAAGAAAAATCTCGAGCTGCTTGCCATGGAGGAACAACAGTTCCAAGAGTATGCCAAAAAGGTTATTGATCATTGCGAGAAGGGTGAGAGGAATACCTATCCGCTACGGAAGGCTGCCAGAGAGGGGCATGGTGGGGGGTTGGGTCCCGTGTTTGAAGGGAAAGGAGGTATCCGTCCGAGTTATTTAGTCAATGATTACACTGATGTTGAGTTGCCTCATTATCAGAGGAATAGCACAGATGCCGTTAAGTATTCTCATGCAGGAAATACAAGCAAAACTTCAAAGAGGCTAGGATTTGTGTGGTAAAAAACTCCAGGCGGAAACTGTGTAAATACATGTACATGTGTACAGATGAAGTGAATACAAACTTGCTTTTTTATGTACTCAATTTCTCTTAAAGGGTGCTATTCTCAGTCATGGTGGTAGATATGCCCGTTTGTCAGTTCAACACATGCAAATGCACAGAATTCTTGCTCGTTTAGTTAATGGATGCAGAGATTTCGGGGGATTTAATTTCCTCCTTACTGTACATTTTAATGTTAAAAGAGGGACTTGGCATACATCCTCCAGAATAACAGTTAAATCCTATTCTTGTTGTATACATGTGTACATAGCAGTTTTTTTTCTCTTAAAATGGGCAAATATGTAAATATTATTGTATTGGAGTACATGTAATTGCTTCGGATCAGATGTTTAAAATTTTATCATTGAAGGGGAGGATGCACTATTCAATTAACTGTGAATCCTTGCAAGTTTGTACATGTACATAAAACTAAATCCATCCTTGTTGCTAGTTTTTTTTTCCAAATAAGGTTGTCATCCTAAATGTACATTAGACCAATTATCTTTCCAATGAACACATATCAAAATTGGACTCTTTCTTCTTTTGATGTTTTTAAATTCAGTTACCAAAACGAATACGTGAACACATACTGACCAAATTGGTTAAAAAGATAATTTGATATTTATATACATGTATGTGGTAACCAGTGCTTTATGAGTGGATTAAAAGGTTGCTTTTTTCAAGCATTTATTGCTAATAATAATAAAATATGAAAAAAGAAATTAATATCACTTCCTTTGTACAGTGTTTTATTTCACTCTTAGAGCATCTCATCAACAAAAACCCTTATCAATTTTATAGTTTTCAAAATGAGTATCAACAATAAATATATACAAATATAAATGTGATTTTAAAATTAGTTAGATTGTAAGGGACCTTCGGAAAAGTGATTGAAAGTACATGTACACCTGTTAAATTTCTTGACGTAAAATATCTGTTATTTACAGTACATTATACAAATCAAAGTACAAAACTAAAGGAGTACATTTTCCACATGACTGCATTATTTAAGTGATTTTATATAGAAAAAAAAAATAAAATTAAAGAATTGTGTCTAAATCTCTGTATAAAATGAGTAAATCACTGCATAATTGTTGACTTTTACGATATATGTATCATCTTTGGTGAATTTAATTTACAAAGACCTAAAATTCAATATGATATAAATAAGACTGAAATTTCTAATCTAGAGACATCATCAGAATATCAAATGGGAAATTAAGCAACCAAACTAAACTCATATGTTGCAGGGAACAAAATGTAAAAACAATTGTCACAATCTTTTAGTACTAATAAAAACACAACTACGATGTACTCACAAAGCAACACTGCACACGGCTAGGGCGCACATAATAAGAAAGTTTGGTTCACGACTACATTATACAATAATACTTAAACACTTGTACATTTACAAACATCTCCTGTACATTTCAAAATGCCTGAGATTTCAAGAGTTCACAACTATGTATGTTGGTTCTAAATATTTTGGCACTTTTGGTTTCACAGAGAAACTGTAAATCACAGGAAAAAAATAAAGCTGCAGCAATTTGTGATTTCAGTTTTCTTATCTAAGATGATCAAACTCCTTTCCTCCTATAGTCTGGTGTTTTCTTATACTCCTCGTACAGATAAAGGCAGTCGTCAATCACAAAACTGTGAAGAAATCACAATACAAATATGGTGATAATATATGGTGGTGTCACTCTTGAAATCATGTACCAATTTATCCATATCTACAAGGAGCTACCCCCCCCCCTTAAAAAAATTACATGTACAAGTACATGTACATTGTGTATTAACAGACAAGATGTCTCGAATCCTTGTTTATAATGTCTAGCAAATACAATGTACATGTACATTCATGAGCAAGTAAAGATCTTACCTATAGAAAACAAATGCAAGCGGTGCAGTGCCTCCATGCCATATAGAATGTGCATCAAAGACCCACCATACTGGTGGAAAGTCGAAGACTTCAAGAAGAGTTAATAAGTTTCCTGACAGAATAGAGAGGGCTACTTTCCATACGTATGGCTGTCTTGAACGAACAATGATGGACCAGAGTAACCACGCAACTGAACTGACTATTGCTGTAGAAACAAGAAAGTGATATAAATGACAAAATAAAAGTAAAAATTATAAAAAAAAATACAGAGTTATTAAACAAAGGTTTAGGTGCTTCACATCTTTCAATGGTCAACTTACCAAATGTTAGATTGACTTTGAGGTTGTAGCTGTAACTAAACTTGGTGAAGCCCAGGTAGAATGCATGAGACAAAAAGAACATGGCAATTGGAGTTACAGTAGGAACAGCCACCTTCATGTTGATTGTATTTCCCTTCATACTAAACACTCTACAAAAGGAAATAAACATGCATAATTAAACATTTCAAATGTCGGAAAAAAACACATACGAGATAAGTTTTCCTTGAAAACATTACTGAGATGTAAACCAGTCTTAGAGTGAAATACATGTGTTATTTGTTCCAAAATAAATATCAAATTCTTCACTAAATTATTACCTTAGAATGAACATCAACATTCCAGAAACAATCAGTGAAAATGCAGATATGTAGTCCATTTTCTGGAAAAGGATTAAAATCAACCATGATTCAAGAAAACAATTTGAAAAACAAATCCCAAACGTTCATTAAAAAAACCCATACATTCATATGCTGCTTACATGTACAAATGTAGTTGTAACTTTTTCACATTTGTATTGAAATCTTCAAATGGTACATTTTAGGAACATACTGAAACAAACAAGTGTTCTTTTTCCAAATTAATAGAAAAACAGTAAGAAAATGTGTTAACCTTAAAGTAAAATCAACTATATCAAAATCTTGAATTCAATCAACTCAATATGCAAGAAATATTAATATTACCTCTGTCCATGTTACATCTCTGAAATGGAAAACAGTGGACCATACCCACGTGTTGATCTGAACCTAAATAAATAAAACAAAAGTTTGTTTTATTACTTTGATTACAACAACCACTGTTCACACAGATCAGAATGTCCATGAACAGTCTGCAAAAGGCATTGCAATTCTAAAATGTTATCTAAGTTCTGGTTCTCCTTACAGCAAAGTAGCCGTGCCACGCTTCATACATGGGAGCATTGGATGGAACTTGTCTCCTGAATCGACTCAGCATGTAGACTGCAACGGCTCCATTTAGAATGGAGAAGATACAAGATGCCGGTTCCTGCATGCCCATAAAGCGCACAAAAGGCCACTGAAATTAAAAAGAGGAAATTCATAAATATATGAGTACATGTACATGTATTATGTAAAATAAACAACGAATTACAAATATTCAAACGCTTTCATTGTCCGCATAATGTAATATTAGACCTCCTTGTTGTGGTAAATGTTTGAAACAATATTTTGAGCTGTTTGACAGTTTGCTCAGTAATAACATGACAATGAAACCTCATTAGATGTATACACATTTAGTGTACGGGCATTTCTTTTGTTGATAAAATTGAAAATGGGGAGTCAGTGCTTTATTTACCTTTCCATAAAACTGTGGAACTCTTTCAACCTCTTCCAAAGCCTTGTGTGTGAGATGCCACATGCTTTCATAGGTACACTCAGACGAGCAGTCCCAACCTAATAACCTCATGGATAGCGGCTGTCTAGTATTGAATCTAGTCAGTTTGGCATCTGTGCTGCAATTCATGTTCAGACAGTGACGCCGATAATTCTGGAAGACCGGATGCTGATCACCCCAAGATGCATTCACACTCGGTGACAGAAGCCAGATTGAGAATAGGCAAAGGAAGGCAACTAGATGCATGGTGGTAGTTGATGGTATCGTCAACTTCATTATCAGTATCTATTACCTATAATATTCAAAGACAAAAAAATTATACAATGTATGTAGGGCCTACTTATTTGATACTTGTTAACATTTCACATTTAAATAACAGCTCATCGATTTGACAAATGAACAATTTTTGGGAGAGGCCATTTTTTTAGGGTCTCTTGCTACCACATGGAAATGCACAAGCCTTCCTCCAGCGTTACATGTGAATGAATATGGAGCATGTCAGCTGGCAATGGCTGGAGTTACTCAAGCTAACTAGTGTTACTGAGTGTTAGGGTTTTAAGGGCCCCAATTTCATCCAAATTGAACGGAACAACAACAACTAGTACGAGCGACAGTCCTGTGCACGGGCAAGTTCCACCCATCATGCCCATATTTTTCACTTGTAACCCTCATGGCCCACAGCATGCTCAACTACCACTACTGAAGATTTTGAGGGCATGCAAATCGTGATTTGGCCGGCGTAGGCAATTTCGGACCGATTTACTGGTCTGCAACAACCCCATGCAGTAGTCTGGTAGCAAAGCATGATCTGCTGCAGAATGAAACACAAACAGCGCCCTCATGAATCACCTCAGTCCTCACTCAATAACAATCTCATTCATCATGCATCATACTATTCGCCTACAGTAAACTTGATTAAAATGCTCAACATGCTCAACCTCCACCATGTCGACGATATCTATCATAAACTGAAACGTAGTGTATTTCTTGGCCTGTTTTGACATTTTTTTTTATAATCAAGAAAAAAGTAACTCACCCCAAAAAAGTTCCGATTCCGATCTAACGTTAGACCTTCGTTACTTCAACGCATGTAGCCCAACAATTTTCATGAAACACGTATGCCTTATCTAAATTGGGCGTCAAAAGAAGCCATTGTACACGAACATATAGCCCAAAACGTGTGCCCTTCACGAATTTGGTGCGGCTTTGTCGATTGGCGTAGAAAAGAAGTAAGTTAAAATTTGACCAATTAAAGCTCGTCTTATAAAACGACCTGCATAAAAAAAACATCGATCTCTGCGCAGGGTTACCGTTTTAGCCGATTTTCGGCTAACTTTGACAGAATTTTTGTTAAAAAAACGAGTTTGACAGAAAAATTTGACAGAATGAATTTTTCTGTCAGATTTCTGGCAGAATTCTGCAAAAATGGTTATTTGACAGAAAACAGCGAATTTGAACAAAAAGGTGCCCATTTTTTTAAAAAAGCTTCAATCCTTTCAAAAAACCCTTGCATAATGGGACAGGTTGGCTGGTCTAGGTACTAAGGTTCACTGCGAAACGGACTTGGGCGGCCTGCATTTTAATTGCCCGAAATTTGCCAATAATTTCACATCTTTATGTCACTAGATTGTTTATTATATAATCTGAATCTTCAATTAAGGCAATACTACCAATCTGCATATGATTTTAAGTGTTTATAGTGTATTTGGAGTAATTCTGGGGAATTTTGACAGATTTTTGATAAATCTGACAGATTTTTGATGCGCATTTAGCAGAATTTGGCTCGGACCTTACGGTCACCCTGACTATTGCGCTGTCAATTCACCCACCGAAAATACGTTGGTAGTTTCTTGTTCTTAGATTCCAAATGGCAGAGATTTCAGATACAGACGGAAGTTCAGTCCCCAGAGGCCCAATTTTACACATTCTTGTCATTGGATTTCATCACAAAAAGGGATGTCAGGTAAGGCATAAATAATTAAAACGTACGGTGTACAACATTGGTGTATCTGATCATTACTTTAGCTGCAAAGTGCAGCTGTTTGGCGGATAAAAAGGGGGCGGGGTGACAAGGTGGAGGGGGGGGGGCAATTTTGGTTTGATGCCGTTGATTGCCATTATTCATAATATTGGCAATCTCTAAATTATTTATAATTAATATTGGAAATCTCCTGTCCTGATTTCACAGTTTACTTTTTTATTATAATTTTTTTTAAACTTTGGGAAAAAAATGTTGTCCGTAGTCTCGTAGATGCCACTTTTTTTCTTCATACATGTATGTATATCATCTCAATGAAAGTCATTCATTGCAAAACTGATGATAAGACATGAATCAGGGACTGAGAAACATTTCCAATTTTGTTAACATGGTTAGGAGTAGTATAAGAAATACTGAAGTTGCGTCAGGTTGCAACATTTTTTCCAAACTTTCTGTTCTTTCGCCAGTGTCATCAATTATTTAGTAAAAATCAATTAACATTAATTAATACTAGCCTTTAGGGGCCTAGGCCAACTTGTGTATTGTTTTTCTTTGATTGCAAATACAGGTTGATTTCTCATATCCACCCTTGATTGAGGGACAGAGCAGCAGTAGTTCAGATATACCAGCTGAATGGAAACATCTTCCATTTCTTGCCGTACCTGATGGTGCTCATAATTATCTTGAAGGTAATAGGCCTACCTCCATTAAGTGCAATTTGGATACCTTGCACTTGTTTAAACTTGAGCGCGCTAAATTTGCATGCTGCAAATTTTGGCCTGGTTATATTCTCTCATGGCAAATATCTGTAGGAAAACAACTCAGCCTAGTCCTGCCAAATTTGCGCAAGGTTGCCAATTTGCGATCATCTCTGCGCAAATTGTACTGTGCGCACGCAATTTTACATTGTGCAGAGAAATTTGCATGCTTCAGAACTTTTTGCGGATGTTTGAAACTTGCACGCGCAAATTTAAACTTGCGCAAGGTATCCAAATTGCACTCGACACCCCTACTCTAGATTCAAATGGTACACAGCATAGTTAGGCTAACTGCTGTAAATTGTTCTTGAAATATGACAATGTTTTAGCGAATAACCATCTCTGTATTCTATAAAGATAGTTAAGTGAATGGAGTAAATCATTAACCTTTTCCATGAGTCTCCCAGTTTTGACAGGTTTTGAAAAATAGTACAAATAGTACAAGTTACTTTGTGGGTGATTCATATAATTTGTTGATTCAAATATGTTTTTCATGCTTTGGAAAATTGCAGATACCATCTACTTTCATTTACCAGGAAGAGATGAGAAGCGTAATACGATATATGGCATTTCCTGCTATAGACAGATCAACACTGAGGTGGGTAGTGCTAACAAAAAAAAACCACTTGATCGTCCCCGCTTGCATCCTTTATTGACGCCACAATCCTTTTAATTTTTTTTTCTCACCTCCAAAAACTATTTTGTTCATGCATAAATTGGGTAAAATACAAAGAACACTGTTTAAAGGGAATGTACATCATTGGCTTTTGCTGTAATTTTCAGAAATGGAGTATTTGAGGGGTTAGTATAATATATCAAATAGTGTACGTTACACTGGCATGTTTGAAGTTTTATGTTCGAAAATGCTGGAAAAACCAAAATTGTTCAAGTAGTCTGGTTCCCTGACTCCACTAAGGATGAAATGGATCAATTTATATATGTCAGAAAATTGTAAGGTAAGGGAACCAGTCTAGCTGGCCTGCACCCGTTCATGAACATGTAACCAATACCAAACAAAATTTGGACTGAAAAAAAGCTAAATTTTGAGCAGTAGTTGAAATATAGTTAGGTTTTTCCAACGGTGGTTGGCCGACCACCATTGGAAATGTATACAAAAATACCATTTTCTTGAAAATGACTTCACACCAGGTGCCATAATTTTACAGGATGCTTTAGACTCTCATTTACCAACATCCTAATAAGGTATTTCTTTAAAACTTGGTAGTTTTATTTTTCGATGTTTGCAAATGTTGTATATTCCCTTTAACTTCAATATTTTGACTCTACTTACTAGTAGGATAGCTAATTAAAAGCTGGATGTCATTTTGCACGGATTAGTTGGCAGCCATTTTGAATATAAATTCATGGCAGCCAACTTCGGAAAAAAAAAAAAAACCTCATCCTCCTCTTTTTGAAGAAACCCGGACGATCAACTGGTATTTTTTTTACTTGGCCCAAACTGTATGCACCAATGCATTTGTTTCAAATAAAATTTGAATACATGTATTACTTGTTAATAATAGTAAACTTGTACAACAGAGACACCGGACAAAGAAGTAACAAGTCACCATTCAGCTGTTTCAAGAAGGAAGTCTTCCTTAATTTAATTATTTCCTGTGGTATTTTTAGTCAAAGTGCTTAGTATATGTCATGAAAAATAAGGAGTACACGCTTTCTTTTTAACATGGGCATGTGGTGTGGACCTTACACATTTTCAGGAAAGCGTACTTGAAGTCTACGAAAAGAAAATCTTGATAGTTTTTAATTGAACAAACATTTTTAAGGGAATAAATGAGTGCTTGATAATGACCTGAGTTGAAGCAGATGAATATAAGCATCCAGACTCCAATCAGTCTTAAACTTAGTGTTTAATACCAACCAAACACATGTTTATTCCCATTCATAAATACCTTTTCGGTCCAAAAAATTCTAAATTTTCAACCATTTCGATCAACAAAACACCCCTCCAGCTATACAATGGTAATTGGCCCTCTGGTATTAAACAACTCCTTATGGAGTACCGAAGTGTGACGTCATTTAGAACCAGAAAGTGTAGTGCAAACGAATGGAGTACGCACGCGTGTTGGTTCAAGGACTAATGTCTTTCACACGCATTTTGTGCGCGTGACGTATTCACTTCGGTACTCCATAGAGATTGGCGTGAGCATGCAGCGTGACGTGGCGCACAACACAGATGTATCAGTGTAGAGTGAATTTTAGGACTATGAAATACTGACTCCGTGAACATTCAACTAATAAAACGTTGCTGGTACCGGATTTCACAGAAGTCAAAATTTCATGTGACACTGAAACAGTATTTAAAACCAGCCAGCCATTACTCTATCAACCGTTTAGGAACAGGTAAACTGTCGTTCGTATTTATGAATATCTGTTAAATATGGTAATACCACATGCTTTGTCAATTGATATTTAGGATTTGTTGAGTAGAGACAAGGAGTTCACTAGAGGCACTGTGCAGAAGAGCGTCTGTGTGCTTAGCACATTGGTAAGAAAGAAATATTGTTTAGGATATAGTAATCATGTACTTCAGAAATGATATCTGAGAACCTTTTATCATGCTCCTGAATATATGCATGTTGAACTAGTTATTTTGAAAATGCAACTTGTGTCTAGATTCAAATACTAATAAAATGAGCTGTAAAAGTGCTTCCCTTTGCAGGACATTGTAATTGTATTAATCTTCTGACATCAATGACTCATTGGTTGTTTACCTGATAAGGACCTGTTTTAAGTATGGCTTCACTTTCATCTGTTTTGTGGATATACATTGTATACATTGTCACATAACAATGAATGTGAGTAAAATTTGATTTTGAACAGATGGTTATTCAATTGACTCATCTATCAAGTGTCATCTTATATGTGGTCAACATAATGGACATCTTCTTTCTGTTTCAGCCGCTGTATGGTTTAATCCAAGCTAAACTGAAGCTGATTACACATGCCTACTTCAGTGAGAGAGATTTCTCCAAAACCTCCATCCTTATAGTGAGTGTTCAATTCTAGCTTTAACACAGGATACATACATTGGGAAGTTTCAAAACTAGAAACTTACCATAAATAAAAGAATAAATTCAAATAATGACTCCCATTTTCAAGGTATATTTATACATGTATGTAACCATGTCATTTAAATTGCTTTGTAAGTTGTGGAAAAGATTTCAGCTCCTATAATTTCTCCATATGCTTGTTCTTGTAGGAGTTGTACACCAGTCTGAACGGTTCTTTGACAACGGGTCAACTAGATGATTCCCAAGCATTCTTGGATCTTCCACTTAGAGATTTGATCCTAACATTCAAGCATAAGGTACATGTATGCATGGCTGAACCAAGGATATGGATGACAGTTGCGTGTACTCACTAACAGTCAGGTGGTTTGGGTATTGTATTATTGCAGTGAGTGCAGTCCATCTTTCATGGTTGCTA